TACAGGGTGATTCACAACTTATCCAAAAAAATTTGGGAATAGATGCGGCATGAGAAATGGAGTCAATATTGTAAAAAATTTTTTGTAAAATCCCTATCCGAGAAAAAAATTATTGAAGTTGTAGTACATTCAACCATTACTGTAGTCTCTATCGTCATTCGTAATACTCGTGGAGAGCGACTCCGAATACTGAAATCCGATCTTACAATCGTCGTTGCGACAGTGTTTACCTGTTATCTGTGGTGTTTACAATAGTTTTTTAGTAGGTAGTGTCAAAAATGGCTTGCGTGTATAGCAACTCGGAGTTGATGGATATCGTTTTAATTTATGGTGAAAAAGACAACATTAATGTTATGGTGAAGCAAGACAACTTTGTGTTAGTTCGTAGAAACTGAATAAGACGGACCCAAATGTGTTTATACGTCGGTGGATAAAATTTTGAACAGTTGTTGTAACATCAGGTATGTCAAATTATTTTATTATTAAAAACTACAAATTAAATTTATTAATTAATAATAACAATAACGGCAAAAGCAGTTGAATTTGCCGATATAAAATAGGTGCTATAAAATTCTATTTATTTCTTTTTGTCCGTTTTTATCACACTTTACCGCCAGCCGATGCCGGTTGCATTGAGCGAGGTCAGGTTTTACAGTAGGCCAGTTTCTAGTGCCGTGCAGAAATGTATTTTTAAATCATTTTCGAACTGCCCTTTTTTATTTTTTCTTTAGAAAATTGTATTTGTAAGAGTCCCCTGTACGTCCAAAATTTTTTTTGGGTAAGTTCTGAATTACCCTGTATATTTATTTTGGAAACATGAAAAAAAATCATTTTTTATCTTTAGTTCTAGGACAGATTTAAAAATCTTAATTACTAATTAATGAACACAGACTATCATAAAATCACGTGTATTACAAGATTTGATTTCAATTGATTTGTTTTCATGCTACTGTTTATAAAAAGGTATAACTGCGATCCCGTCAAATACGAGTAATTAAAAATGAGTCATTAATAGTTATGGGAAAACGCGGAGCCCTATTCGTATCTTCACTTAAAATCGGTTCTTACCGCTTTTAGGCACATTTAATGTCTGGAGATGGTTTACTGGTACCAATTGCGTTTAAATCGTTTAAATTTACAACGTCTTTGAACACAAAACATCAGATACTCGCAGTATTTTACTCATTTGACCACATAATTTGGTAAGTTATTCTGGAGAAACTTTAAAAATTTAGTCAGTTTTGTTCTGTAAATCTAACACTGTCGCGTCGCTTGTTTCAGTTATAATATCAAAGCCTACTGTAAAGCTTATTTCAAATTTTAATTGCTATAATATGAGAAAAATCCAACAAGGCTGCCAAGATGGAAACAAAAGATATGAGCAAGTAGCAACTAGATCTGATGTCTTGAATAGCAGCAATAAATTTTTCTAAAAAAGTGCCCTATAATAATCTGACATAAATTTAGGTATGCAATAGATATCTAACCTTATGAACAAAATTCCTAATGTTGATATTGCAGGAAATAACTACCCTAGGGCTGTATTTTGACCCCAACAAGGAAGCATTTTAGAGAAAAAAGTGTAGGAATAAAAAGTTTTTATTTTGACCCTATTAACACGCCTGTGTAGGTACTTTAATTTGAAAATCTTAACTATTTTAACAAATAAATCAAGATTACCACCGATTTTGAGCTTTTTTTGAGGTTAGCGAAAAATCCTGACGTGATAAACCTTTCTGATGGTTCCATTGTCTTCAACCGAAAAAAAATTTTCAGCCTGTGTTATCTCAAATAAAAAATAAAAAAGAACATACCAAACATAGTGAAAATTTTAAATAATGCTATCTTGTATATTTGTTTTTCACCTAGGGCGACAGTAGTCATGCCAATTATTCTAACATAACCTAGAGTTACAATTTTACACGGATGATGATATACTTTTCCGAATTTTAAACAGATTCATGTACATTTCCTTTAAGATGATGTAACACAAATATTTTCACATACCTTTTAGTCTTTCCGAAGTCAGTTAAACATGCAAATAACGTCTGGTAATAAAATTTAATGAGTCCCTAAAAAAATTTTCTGCTAAAGGTACAAAATTATAATAATTTGTTCATTTGGCCAATAACATATTTTAATTATTTATGTCTTCAAACAATTTTATTATATTGGTGGTAAATTTCGTTTTGTTCCGTTTCAAAAGGTCTCCAAAATGCCATGTTGTGATAATATTAGTAAACAAAATATCCCTCTTATTTCTCACTTTCGCAATTGTAATATGAATGATTGATAGAAGGTGCCTATAATAAATTAAAATTACCTGAATCACACCAAATTCCGCAATTGCTGGGCAATTTATCAACCACTTGTCATCTGCTGTGATTTATTGCCCAGTAGCCCAATGCAACTGTAATTGTTTTCCTTTGCCCGCGCTCGCATTCTTCAACTGAGCTTATACATTTCATTGCCTCCACGATTAGTTCGACCAGACCTGTATATGGGTATGTCTAAATAAATATGGGTACAAGTTTTTCAAATATTTGCTCGGCTTTCAATGCCGAGTTGCTGCGTCGCGACAGAACCGGGTACATACTATCAATCTGTTGGTTCTTCAATTGATATCGGAAAAATAACTATTCAACTATTTTATGATTCAGTTCAGTGTGCCATGCATTTTTTTTCATACATGGCACACTTAAATGTATTAAGAAGCAAATGAATTTAATTTTTGGAAAAGTACGCTAAGTTTGACGTTTTTTCATCATCGTCATATCAAGGACTTGGGACGAAGGTGCAATAATAACAACAACAAAAAGCAACACGGGAAAAACGTTTTAATTTGTATAAGAAAAAATATGTAACAGCTTATTTATTGTACAAAAATTACTTGTTCTTGTAAATTCCTGGCATCGCCACTGCTCGTGATTAAAGCGTTTCTCTCATTGTCAGTTAAGTGTTTCAAAAATAGGATGCCACACTTTTACCTCCAATCAATTCCAGTAATCTCCAGCCAGGCAATATAATATTATTTTACGGTACTTAGTCAGTAAGTGCCTTTAACCGATCAAAAAAATTGAATAAAATTGTAGCAAATTTTTGAAATCGGTGGGCACATGTCAACCAGGTATCGTGTACAATTTGTTGCACAAACATGTTCATCTTTACGAAATAATTTGCTCAAATATAGGCCAGCTGCTAGACTACAAGTTCGTGGTAAATAAATAATAATTATATATAGTATAATCATAAATGATTACAAACCACGTGACCACAAATTTTGTTTGGAACAATAATTTTAAATCCTTCAAGTTTGCAATTAAATTTCGTTAAAATTAAAAAGAGGTAAATTGGAATAGATAGCCTTTGCTTGTTGCTTTCTCACGGAGGTTTTTGAAGAATGAAGTACAAAACGCAGGCACAAAATAGACTACGAAAGGAAAACCGCATTAGGCAAGTTTGCGCTGAAATTACACTGGCAACCTACATCCGTGGTGTGAATATAGTGTGGTGTGTCTTCGCGCAGGTGGTGACGTCACTAAAGAACAAGACAGGCATATACAGAGTGATTCACAAATGGTGAACAAAAATGAAACCTCGTATTCTTTGGTGAATTTTAAGGGGAGTCTTTCCTATAAAGTTTTTATCTAGAACGCTTCGTTAAAAAGATACAGGGTGTTAAACTTCAAAAAATATTTTAAATTTTTTTAAATAATTTAAAAACTAGTAAGTGAAATAATTTGAAATTGGGCACATGTATTTATGTAAACATTGTTCAAAATATGAGAGCTTTTCCTAAAATTTACATGCTCCAGTGGCGGAGATATCAAAAAACAAATATATTTGAGGTTTGAATTGAACTGTTCTTTGATGACGTCAAGCTCAAACAGGGCGAACTTGAGTCGGCTGACGATCACACCGCACCTTCAACCCTCCCTAAAATTATGTACAGCGGATAGCGAACTAAAGCATAGGGCTGCTGGAAGTTTTACAGAACACAATATTTAATTCTTTTGCGTTGTATTTATCATTAATTTATAAATTGTGCCTCAAAAAATGAATTATAGAAATAGTTTAATTGCCTAATATGTTTCTATTATTTTTTTTACCATTTTTAATGTAACTTAACTGGATTCAGGGTTTTTGAATAATTTTAATTTTTTTAATTAAAAAATGTATATTATGTCTTTCTGTTTTTAAAGATAGAGTGATTTTATGGTCTGAAATAGTCTAATTTGATTTAAATCGCACCAGAAAAAAACATTGCGCTGTTACACCCTCAAGTAAGACACGCTGTATGTTAAAATAATTTTTTTCTTAAAATACTTTGAAAAATCATCCTCTGAAATATTTTAGATCACTTAGGAAACACGCTATACATATACAGGGTGTTACAAGTTTGACTGCCTTAATATTATAGATAGAATGCATTAAAATAAACAAAAAAAATCTTATATGACATGGGTCCTAAACTCAACCATTTCCGAGAAAGAAATTATCTCCAACTTGTACAAAAGTTCGATTAATTAAGGAATATTGACATAACTGCGTGCATAGAATACCATGAAGTACAATGTTCATCACTTTTTTTAACTTATCTATGCTTAAAAATAATTAGCGTTGTAATAAATTTAAAATTCGATTAAATTCATATCGAGCAATGTGACAAAGGCGCGGCAGTTTATTAACACGAGGTACTAAGATGTCCAGCAATTACGCAATTCCGTTGGTGTCTGGAATTGGACCGTGTCTGAGTGTTTTTTGCGTACCACTGCACTATTTCCGTTTCTTTTGATTAAAAGTTAAGTTCCTATTTTAAGAGATTCATAATTACTAAAATTTGAGCTAAAATTTAAGCACAACACACTTCGTACTACAAAATCGATACATTTTATTTTATTTATTTAAAAATTGGAAAACAATTGTCTTCAAATTTACTAAATGTTTCACAATAATAGCTGTTTACATTTTTTCCGTAGGACAAGTTTGCCGCGTGCACACGTGCATGCATCAGCTGTGTGGCGTTAAGTTAAGCGCTGTTGTCACGTTGTGATGAAACTGCCCAATATTAATACTCGCTGTATTTTAATCTTACGCTCCTGTAATATACAATTTTTTTGTTCATTTATCTATCTATCTCATGCTAAAGTAATGACAATCAAACTTCTTACACCCTGTATTACTCATACTGCTTCATTTTAATATAAACAGGCAGCTGTTAAAATTTAAACACCCTGAATAAGCTGAAATCTACTTACCGGCTTAGATAAGACTTGTGTAATTTGGCAGTTAGAAATTAATAATTTTTTCAATAAAATCAACTTCTTATGGTGAAACGTAACAAAAAAACATGATTGTGCAAAAAACTTATTACGAGCTTTTATTTACTTTTTTTAATTTCATTTTTCTGCATCGTATTTCGAGGCGCCTTCAACCGTTCAAAACTCGTCGTGAAAGCTTCTGGCGGTGTCCACCATCTTCGACTTCAGGAACAAGTCCGGGTGCGCGAGGATCTCGTCCAAGGAAAGCATGCCGTCGTGGTTGTTGTCGGCGAGCGCCAAAAGCGCCTCGGCCTCATGCTCGCTGTGCCTGGGGCTCTGGGGCGCCACGTAGTGCAGGAGTTCCCGCCTGTCCGCCTTACCGTCGCCGTTGAGGTCGATGGATTTGCGGAATTCTGCCCGCCGCTCGTTCTCGTCCTGGCGGACGATCAGGGTTTCGTCCCCGTTACCTGAAAAAAGCAAAAAATACCTGAAAAAAAATGTTTGTATACAGGATGTCCCACAATTAGATGCAGGCGAAAGTTTGCATAAACAATGGCATTAAAAAATTGAACAACCAAAATCATTTTAAAATATGAACAAATTGTTTGTTTCACACTATTTTTGGGACGCCCTGTATATTAGAAATTTTGCCAGGTTATGTCATACGAAAAACTATATAAATTTTTACCTTCAGTTTGCAAAATGGCGAATTCGTTTTCAGTCAGCAATTCATCGCCGTCTCTATCAAATTTGTCGTACAGTTCGTCCACTAAAGCCAGTTGGTTGGCAGCACTGGATTCTGGATGGGTGAACGCCAGGAATTCGTCCAATGTCAGCGAGTCGGGGTTAGACCGAGCTGCCTCCATCCAAGAAGCTTTATCCTTCATTATTTGTTCTGCAAAGTAGGATGGAAAGCTGCAGAAAATTCGAAGTACTTCGAAAACATATATTTTGAAAATGTGGAAATAACCGGAACAAAAAAAACAAAAATTGGGCTGTACCTTTGAGTTGACCTATAGGTTTTATGTATTTTGACGTACTGAATCCGAATCTATAGTCCGTTTAGCTCAAACAATTTTGAGTAATTGGCAAAAAATAGTGAAAAATCGCTGAAAATCACGTTAGCGTAGGCGTAGCTAGGATTTTTGCTTGGGGTGGGCCTAGGGCTGCTGTAAGCTCTATGAAGGCCTCAAAAAAAAAATCAAGTTTGGGCAGGACATAGCTAATACAATGTGAAATATCGCCTTAATGTCAATAATGTTATCACCGCCGTTCTTGGTGGTGAAAATTAGAAATATTTGGAATTATTCAATTTTCGTGGTTGAACACATACCTACATAGGTATTGTATTTTCAAAACCGAAAGAGATGCACTAACCAAATTTGGATAGAATCTAGGTAATACAATGCGAAACATCGCCTTAATGGTAAAATTGTTGTCACCGCCGTTCTTGGTGGTGAAAATTGTAAATATTAGGAATTATTCAATATTAATGAGAGTGAGATAATTTAGAAAGAGGTTTTCTAGATTGGATCAAGTGTTCGTCTCATAAATTTTATCTAATCGAATTTGAACTTCAATATCCAAAAATTTCGCAAAAATCACAAAATCTTGCAAAAAAAAATAGAAATCGTGAAATTGCTGGCCCAGGATTGCGGTTGAAATTTTTAGATCGCCGCATACTTTCCATTTATGTTCTAAGTAGTTTATGTCTCGTCTCGTAGTATCAAAATACATAAGAAACACACTTGATCAAGGTCAGAATAAACATTTTTCAGATTTTTTTGGCGCTCACTAACATGATTTTTTCTATTATTTGCGGTTTTTTGCAAAATTTGGGGGGGGGGGGGTTTGCAGCTTAAAGACTTCTAAGGATAACGTACTTTAAAATATTTTACGTTGTATTTCGATGTACTTAGAGGTTTTTAGAACTGTTTTGAAGTTTTTAGAAATTTTCAATGCATTTTTAATGTTATTTTAATGTATTTTGCTAGATTCTCGAACTACTTTTTTTAAAGTAATTTCGATGTACTTTATTGGATTATTTTGTGGCTTTTTTTAAATTTTTTACGATTGTAAAACTGATTTGACAAATTTTGATTTATTTTGAAGCTGTTTTGATCCATGATAATACACCTTGAAATTATTTTTGAAAATTAACTTGGGGTACCTACGGACCTTTCATAAATAATTACAAGTCACGTAACTAGTAATTTTGTTTGGAACAGCAATTTCAGTTCCTTCACGTTGGCAATAAAATTTCAGTAAAATTAAAAATTATTATATAACATATATTATATTATTATAAGTACATAGTAATAGAAATATTTTCAAAACTACGAAATATTTCCAAATACATCGAAATACCTTAAAAACGTTTTCCCTTTTACGATACGGTCAAAGGGATAATTTAAAAAACCAATCCACAAGTTACTACAATAACTGTAGATCCCTACTAACCTTTTATGGCCCTTTGCAGTCCCTTGTGCCTTCTTTCGTCGTGATTTTCTACGTACTTGTCGCTAAACCCGCGCTTTTTGAGGAAATAAGCATGATACTCTTTCCACGTTATAACGCCATTTCGGGGATTCACGTCGATGAGGGTGAACAATCCGTAATTGTTGCTGACAGCTGAGGAAATGTGTTCTACGATTTTCGTCCTTATCCACTGCGAAAGCTCCTTCGAATCTAGCTTCCCATTTTTGTCTTTATCTGCTCTAAAAGTAATAGAATAGGCGAGGACGTTTTGATTTTGATTAACTTTCGAGAAAAAAATACCTAAAGAAATTTATTGAATATCCATTTTCACAAAAGATTGATTAATGCAAAATTGTATGTTATCAACAGAAAATAATTGAAAAAAGCGAAAATTGCTATACTTTGCTGTAATTGCGTTATTTCTAATCCGATTGCAAAAAATGATTGAAGCATTCTTTAAATATCATGTAATTTGTTTGACATTGCAATAACAATTATTATTTTGTAATAAAATCCAATATGAAAGTGCAGTTTTTATTTTGTCAAAAACTGATGATTATAAAAACAGAAACTAATTACAAATATACATTTGAAAGGTGAAAGGTCTAAGAATATTTCCAATTAGACTAAAAATCACGAAGTTGCCTTTTGAAAAGGTCGATTTTCACTTTTATTTTAAATAAAATCCAAGCGAATAGAAATTCAAGTGTTTTCTTTGCGTAACATAAAAATCGGCACTGTTTTGTACAGTTATATATAACGCACTGTTCTTATTATTCCTTGGAATAAATATAATACGTACTCTCAAGGACCATAATAGTTGCCTTTCTTTGACCCTGTATTTAAAATGTATTTTATAGAGAAACTGGACTGCTGCATAAATTAACCTTTTGACTGAAACCCAGCAACAGAGTCGAAATCCTAAACACAATAAAAAATTTCGAAACAATAGGTATTTTGCGCTGTACAAAACAATAAAGTCGAATATAGGTACAGCTAAGGATGCGTCTAAAATATTTCACAATATCCGTAAAAACCTATCGATTATAGCGAAATTTGCAATTTGCATGAATTAAAAAAGGTAAAAAATAAATTCTTACTTTTGAAAAACCTCCGTCAGGATCTGCGTCTTGTCCTTATTGGAATTTTCTTCATTATTAACATTAACTAGGTATTCGTTCTTGTCTTCCAGCAAGGCTTGCTCGCCTTTCCTATCGGAATCAAAATTACTGTTTTTTATCCTTATTTCAAAGGAATCTTCCGGCGGCTGCAGCTTTATTTCTTTGGAAATTTTTATCTTCGGCTTAAGCGGCACTGCTAGCATCCATATCATAAAGAAAAATGCGATGTAACACAATATGGGCACGGTATAAGACCACCTCAAGCACTCCAGGTATCTCAGCCCTTTTGATACCTTCATATTATTAAATAAATAAATAATTTTCACCATTCTAGTTCATATCACAGCGCTCTTGTGGAGATCACATTGTTCTGTGCTCTGTAGTACGGTGTAGTACTTTCTTCTACTTTCACCAGTTTGCCCCCGAATGTTTTGCAACTAATTGTAAGATACATATAATCGCGCAACTTTAAACGGGTGCTCTTTATTTCGTAAATTCTGGAACGAGGGTATTTTTCAATGAAATTTTCGTACATTCTGCAGTAATGACATAGTGTGAAAAACAGGGACATAAGTCCAAAATCGATAAGGCTATCCTTAACGCGCAAAATCAGCCGCCAAATTTTGAACTAGGCATTGGATTCAATTTGAACCAATGTTGATATACAAAAGGCTAGGCTATACATTTCTAGTTTACCTTTCGTGACGTCATCGAGGTATAATCGTTGAAGCTTGATGACAAGTTGATGTTAAGAAGTAATATATCGTATTGTTTTCTTGCAAAATTACCAAAGCAGTGTATCTTACAATTGTATGTATGCATTATATGATAAATGGTCCTTTGAAAATCCTTAGAAATCTTACGATGCCACTAGGGATTTTGTTTTTATCTGTGACTTTGCCAACCATAAGTTTCCGAAAGAGAAACCCACAATAACAATAAAGGACGCTTGTCGGTTAGTGACATTTCATTTGGTGACAGTTTGCAGTTTTGTACATTAGATCGCTGTCACTTTTGTTGATTATTGTGCAAATTTGATTAACAATTCTCAAGAAAGCAGTAGTTTAATGTGAAATCTAAACTAAAGTGTTTCGCAATGACGTCCGCTTTATATCTAGAACATTATTTAGACAGTAAGTTCTAACCTAACCCATCAATGCGTTTATTAACTTTGCGCTTTGCCGCAATATTTACAGGTTTAGAACATTTGCCGATAGAATTACAACGTAATTTTACGTTAATGAGAGATCTGGACTCTAGGGCACAAGGTTTAATGAAAAATATAGACTCCTTGGCTGATGATTATTTGCGGAAACAGAAAACCCTATCGGAAGATCAGAGAAAGGAGCAGTTAGTTAAAATTCAGAATCTATTCAACAAAGCGAAGGTATGTTTTTTTTTTAATGAAAGAAGACAGAATTGAAATGTAATTTTTAGGAGTATGGCGATGACAAGGTCCAATTAGCAATACAAACATATGAATTAGTAGACAAACACATTAGGCGATTAGATAATGATCTAGCTAGGTTCGAATCCGAAATACAGGACAAAGCATTGAATTCTAGAAATCAAGAGGAACCATCAGTGGGCAAAAGTATGTGGTATTTGTGGTTATTCTTTTATAATAACGGCTTCGGTGATCTGGCAAGAATTAACTACCGTATTCCCGACCTGCTATTTTAATATTCCGATATCATATCGTGCTTTAGATATTTGTAGATCATACTGTTTATATGTATAGAAAGTTCCTATTCTGTTTAATTTCTAATAAAAATTTCATATTGCTGTTAAGTTTTCCTTTTATTTCTGATCTGAAACTATTCTCCATAAAATAAAAATAGAAATTTAATTATTTGAAATTATCCTACACATTACTAAAATTTTAAAACAGTCCTAACTATCTATTAAAAATTATTAATTTTAACAGAAAAAAAACCTTAACCTTAAAACAGTGTTAAATATCTGTGTCATAATAAATTAATAATTTTAAGGTATGCTGTAAAATAGAGATATATTTTTTAAAGTCACATGTAGAAAAATATTTTTTTTAATGTGCAACTCTCCTTGTCTGCTCTGTTTCAATTTTAGAGGGTAGAAAAAAGACTAAGGATGGTAAAGGGGAAAAGAAGAAGCGATCTGGCAACTCTAGTGAGGAAGATTCTGCCGGTACCATCAGAGGCAGCAAGAAGAAGAAGCAGAAGGGATCTGGTGCAGGTAACGGTTCTGGAGGAAGTACGGGCAATGGAGCCAAGGCCGCTTCAGGTGAGGGTTCGTATCATCTCATCCTCATTTATTACTTCGTTAAAAAAAGTTAAATTTAAATGGATATCAGTTATTTGGTTGTGTATGTTTTATGTGTCACAGATCTTAAGTATATCCTTTTCAAAGATATCTAAAAACAAAGCTTAAAGTTGCAAGTACCGAAAAACAAATAAAACATTTGTAAAAACGTAAAAAGATGCCACTCGAGACAATTGAGGAACAGAATGTGCTCTTTTTACCAGATTTTGTAGCTATAATTGTTCAAAATTGTCTAATACGACATTGTAAAGAGTGCTTCTATAAGTCCATTTATTTGTTTTGTTCAAAATTTGAAAAACATTGATGGTCAACACATATAGTGTGTCCCGTTTTTCAGGTTAACACCTCTGAAAATGTAAGAAGGCTGTGGACGCAAGCCAATTTTTTTTACAAATAGTACCCTGAAGGGAGGTTATATTCTACTAAATCATTTTATTGATGTAACGACTAGCCTACTAAGATTTTTTAAAGAGGCCGTTTTTCCAGAAAGTGGTGTAGGGTGGTGTTTTTTTTATCAAAAAGATAATATTACCAAGCTATTCAACACTCATCAAAATACCCACATACCAAATTTGAACGACAAATGTCTATTGAGTGTTTTTTTATATGGTGTCAAACTTCAAAAAAACAGACATCTAAAAATTATAATAAGCAGGTCAAAGATTGCCATGAAAAGTGAAAACAAGTGTCAATCGGACAAAAAAAAATGCAGACTATAAATTTAACACTTTTAATTGCGGCCACACTAAAAATAATAATTAACGTACAAAAAATGTAGGTAATGAATTATAAATATAAGTTGTTTAACAAAAAATTAGACAACAATCTAAATTAAATTTTAGTTTTCTCGAACTATGGACTTTTACTTTTGGGGTTTTATAAAACAAAAAGTTTATAAAAACGGACCAAAGAATTTGGATGACCTAGTGAATTGCATAAGACAAGCTTGTGCAGAGATTATTTCATAACAGCTATGTAAATTATTTTTAAATTTAAGAAGAGAATTGGAAAAATGTGTTCGACTGGAAGGAGGTTTGTATTTTCTCTTTGTCCGATTGGTACTTGTTTTCACTTTCATGGCAATCTTTGACCTGCTTATTATAATTTTAAGTTGTCTGATTTTTCGAAGGTTGGCACCACATAAAAAATACTCAATAGACATTTGTCGTTCAAATTTGGTATATGGCTATTTTGATGGGTGTTGAATAGCCTGGTAATATTATCTTTTTGCTAAAAAAATGCCTAATACCACTTTCTGGAAAAACAACCATTTTAAAAAATCGTAGTAGGCCATGCTTTTGTTACATCAATAAAATGATTAGTAGAATATAACCTCCCTTCAGGGTACTATTTGTAAAAAAATTGGCTTGGGGAAAGTCCACAGCCTTCTCAAATTTTCAAAGGTGTTAACCTGAAAAACGGTTCACACTGTATATGGATACTGGTTGCTATAAATACATTGTGCTTTATAAGAGTCGCATTTTGCTTTTTCTACTATATTACACCTTGTAAACCAATGAACTGAAAACTCAAAAAATTTATTGAAATAAAGCAGTAGCCTATTCGACCATTCTGGTTTTCCTGAATTAACGTTGGCAACTAGTCCCCTGTTGTATCACATCAGATGGAGTAATTATATTATATAGTTCATCTAAGCCAGATCAGTGTCGGAGGTCATTGGCACAGATTTACGAACTAAACACAGTGCTTTTAAAAAATAATAAATACGCTTTATTAAAAACCTGAAATGATTTTAAAAATTATTACTCCCCCTAGATCCAGGCCTGAGCCGAAGGGCCATCCTTCTGTGTTTTTTGTGACAATCTCGATTGTCTTTAACGGCTGTCTCTCTATCTAACTATAAGGGTAATAAATAAATAGAAAAAAAGTGCAAGTTTCTATTTGTCAACTCGGATTTTTTTTTAAATATTTACCAACAGGTACTGGGACAGGCAATCATNCCCTGTTGTATCACATCAGATGGAGTAATTATATTATATAGTTCATCTAAGCCAGATCAGTGTCGGAGGTCATTGGCACAGATTTACGAACTAAACACAGTGCTTTTAAAAAATAATAAATACGCTTTATTAAAAACCTGAAATGATTTTAAAAATTATTACTCCCCCTAGATCCAGGCCTGAGCCGAAGGGCCATCCTTCTGTGTTTTTTGTGACAATCTCGATTGTCTTTAACGGCTGTCTCTCTATCTAACTATAAGGGTAATAAATAAATAGAAAAAAAGTGCAAGTTTCTATTTGTCAACTCGGATTTTTTTTTAAATATTTACCAACAGGTACTGGGACAGGCAATCATATTCGTCCAATGCGCATAATTTAGAAATACGTCCCTGGATCTGCCCATAAAGAGATTAAGTGCAAATTAAAAAAAAAGTAACTAACTCAACTTTCAGAGTAGTAATATGGGGAACATCCATAAAAAACTGACCCCACTTAAATTTGCAGCCTTAATGTGAGAGTGAAAAGTCTATATTTGCATTAGTTTGTCAAAAATAATATTTTCATTGCATGCCCATTTTTGTATGCCTACGAAAATTGACATTAGAAACTAATAAATCGTACGATTTAGTTGCTGAAGCTGTAGCGGCAGTATTACCAGGACTTGCAGGAATAGCGCATCCCAGCGATGTACTCGACATGCCTGTAGATCCCAACGAGCCTACGTATTGCCTCTGCCACCAGGTGTCATATGGAGAAATGATCGGTTGTGACAATCCAGATGTAAGTACTACATTTATTTTATACAATATAACCCCGTAATAGTGTTATGTTATAGAAGCTAATTTTTTATTTCCAGTGTCCCATTGAATGGTTCCACTTCGCTTGCGTCGGCCTGACGACAAAACCGAAGGGCAAATGGTACTGCCCCAAGTGCACCCAGGATCGGAAGAAGAAATAATGACGGTTACGCCCTAGGTAATTCATTCCACTTGTTTTAAATTATTTAAAAAACAAAATGTTATGTACATAAGTTTTTAAATATATATTCGATGATTATTTATTTCGATATTTTTACATATTTTTTTATTTTAATACTGATCGTTGGATCTCAAGAGACATTTTTAAAGCGTAGGTGTTTGTTTAGATAATATTGTTATGTAATTTAAATAACGACAGAGTTTGAGAGGCAATGAATACAATTTTTAGTAGGGTTAGGTATCATATGTTGTTTTTTCGATTTTAAAATGGACAGAATGAATAATGATGAAATAAAATGTATTAAAGTTTATTCGTTTTTTATTTACCGCTTTGGGAAGATAATTACAAATTTCATTATAACAACGGAAAAGTTAACAAGTGAACAGAGAAAAAATTGTATTTAAATAGCCGATTTCGGTTTTTTAAATTTAGTGGTCACAATTTTCAATTCACACTGTATTATTTATTGAAATGAGGAGCAAAAATACTACTTGACAATCTTAAGGCCAAAATATGACAACTGGATCAAATATTCTATAGTTCTAAGTTACAGGATCGTCGGAATTTAATGGTCTTTGAATTCAACACTGTAATTTTTATTACGGAGACAAATAAAATAATTCGGAGCGTAATTAAATATCGTTTGCCCAACGTGGGAAATATAGCAGAAATAAGGAGAATTGAGATGGCGTAAATTAGCAAACCGACTGGAAGCGAACCTGGACCGTCGTCAATGTTGATCATCTGAAGTGTGGTTCCTGTGAGCTTAGGCAGGTAACTTTGGCAGTTGCTCCATCACCTGAGTAATCCACGGGACGTGTATTTGGGGGCAGAATTGGAACATAATTTGGATTTCGGGGCTATCACACCGCGACAACAATTTTTTGATAGAATAGTCAGTTTTAATCCCAAAAATTTTCATGTGTTTTGTCTTTGCAATCTAAAATCAAACGTGACATTGCTGCTTCTTATAAAAACTTTTCGAAGGATACACAGGCAAATATAAACGCTGCTAATAAGTTTTTCATGGTAAGCCATCTTTTATGTATTGTGATGTACATGTCGACGCTTTAGTACGAAAACATGCTGTCTCAGATTTCGGTTGGAAAACATTCTATCTCAAATTAAGCTTGGAAAACATGCTAACTCAGATCTTTAGATAAAAACATGCTATCTCAGTGTGACTAGAAATTTAAGTTTAATTGAATGATTGAAATCGTGCATTTATAATTATTTTTCTTTTTCACAAAATTTGGGATGCACAATTTATTCTGAAAATAATTTTGTATGCCTAAGGAGACTGCAATAAAAAGAATTATATAGTGGACCAGGCTAGGCCCCAAACTCTGGGTCCGAATCGTTCTTACTGCACCTCAATAAAAACAAATGGCTTCTTAAGGGTACGGTAGTCGCGTGCTTGCATAAACTTTGGAAATGAAATGCAGGTATGCGACACTTTTATTACCGGTACTTTATGATCTGCTGATGATAAACATCTGTGCATGAGGAACCGTGGTAATGTGCACGTGCAAATCATATGAGCTCGTCGCATCTATATATACATATAAGTACATATCATTCAACTTTATACATTATAGTTATATTCTGGTTATTATGTTAACTCTTAACAAAAATAAGAGTAGTGACTCTAAATCAGGTAAGAGTGCGTTATTAATTTTTATATCAAAGCAAACTTGTATGAAAAGAAACGAATAATTTTTAGTAATAACAAACATTTTTATATATGAAGGTACACTATTTTTTTTACAAAATTGAAAAATGTTGAATAAAAAAAATAAAATAAATAGTGTACCTGAACATAAACATTCCTTACTTTTTTAAAAATATATTATATAAGTTTATTATAACTGCACGGTTTCAATCATTCAATGTGCCAACTTAAATTTCTAATCACACTGAGATAGCATATTTTTATTTAAAGATCTGAGTTAGCATGTTTTACAACCGAAATTTCAGATAACATGTTTTCTAACCAAAATCTGAGATAGCATGTTTTCGTACTAAAGCATCGAAGTGTTTTTTTGTTATTTGTATTTACGTAAATGTAATTATTTTGTTTGTTCCCTTGTATAATTGGTACTTGCACTCTAGATCGGTGTACTAGATTATAAAATCGAAGGTAATACTACTGTTCAAAATTTTGTCCACCGACGTGTAAACACATTTGGGTCCGTCTTGCTCAGTTTCTATGAACTAACACAAATGTTGTCTTGGTTCACCATAACACAAATGCTTCACCATAATACAAATGTTGTCTTGCTTCACCATAAATTAAAACAATATCAATCAACTCCGAGTTGCTATACACGCAAACCATTTTTAACACTAACTACTAAAAAACTATTGTAAACAGTCGGATTTCAATAATCGGAGTCGCTGACGCCATGTGGCTGTCCACGCGTATTGCGAATGACGCTAGAGACTACAGTTGTCCAGCTATGTAATGGGTGAAAGTACTATAACTTCAATAAATTTTTTTTCGGAAACTATAAGGATTTTACAAAATTTTTTTTTGTTATAGACTCCATTTCTCATTCTGCATCTACATATTCCAATTTTTTTTTTTAAAAGTGAATCACCCTGTATGTACCTCATATCAATTTTGACAATTGGTTTATTGAGTTGCAGATATGTATTTTTTAAATTTCAATTTTAATATTTAACTCTCAAATCAAGCAACTTGAGACTAAGTTATATTTGGCTTATTATCATAATTTTCTACAGGGTGTCCCAGAATATGTGGGCAATCTCTCGGATTTATACAGGGGACGTTAAAATAACATAAATAAGTAATAAATAAAGTAAGTAATAAATAAGTCCCTATAAAAAAAAAATTCCTAGAGATATAGGCCCCCAAAGGACACCCCTGAAAATTTTTTTTAAGAACTTTTAAAATACTTTGTGCAATTTATTATTTAATACGTTGGACAACAGATAAGGCACCTTAAAAATCGACCCATGAAAACAATTGGGCTTATTTGGTTTGCAAGAGACGGACTAGCTGTAGAACAATAATGTCAATTTTTTTACACCCTTTACGATAAAGGCACAAAAATAATATTTTTAGATAGCTTGAACCTTAAAATAAAAAAGGCACTCTTGATTGATATCGATAATATGAATTGTTTTTGAGAAAAAACTATTTTTGTCTGATTTTTATTATATCCGTAAAGAGAAATAAACCGATGTATTTTGCATTCTTTCCGTGCCTATCTAAAAAAATATCCACTTTTATTTATATTTGTTTTTTCCTAAAAATAATTACACAGTATTTTAAAAAAATCGATTTTCAGGAGTGTCCTTTAGGGGTCTTTATCTTCGTAGGGAGGCCGTCTAAGGAAAATTTTTTAGAAAGTTGTCATGTTATTTTTGCATCCCTTGTATAAATTCCAGAGATTGGCCATATATTCTGGGTCACCCTGTATAAATAAAGAAATCGAAATGATCAAATTTATATCGTACAAAAAAGAACTGCAGCTAACGGATCTCCCAACAAGGTTTTAAAAGACCGTTGACCCCTAAATGTTATTAACCCATTGAATGATTCATCCTAATTCTACCTGTTCTTTACCATTCTCACTTTCATTGATGTAACTGTAAATGTAAAATTATTACACCAAGTTAATAAATCCCTATAAAAAAATGTACTGTATATTAAAGGCTATGGAGAGAATATTAATTGCATTGTTATGGTACAAATTTCCATTAGTTTGTATGGACAGTAATGGTAAATATTAACAAATTGTTTCTTTCTGCAATAACTCATATTGGCTTCTTCTGTATTTAAATATAGATATATTTCGGCAAGACATTGGAGATAAAATGGAAATTGGTCTGTCCGATAAAGGCTACAAGACAGTAGAATTAAATTGTGGATCGGAATCGATGGTGGTTAATTTGGAAACCGATGATGAATTTTTAGGCGTTGTTTACACTAGGGGAAGCTTTTATGATAAAAAGCCACCTTGTTTTTCTGAAACGGGCGATAAAAGATGGCAGACATCCTTTAAGATGAAGATACCATTTGATAGTTGTAATACCAAACAGGTACAAAACCAAAAAACATCTTCCTCAAAAATAAATTTTCTTAGTCGCAATGTATATGTATACAGTGTGGTTCAATAAAAACCAGTACATCCAATAAAATCTCGTATAAAGGTAATTTTTCCTCCAATGTTATAAGAATCGCACTGGCTTGTACTCCAAAAATTGTGTAAATTGTTTTTAACATGAAGACGGCAGCGAAATATGTAAATAAATGTTTTTATTAACAGTATCTTTCAAACCGTTAATTAGGTTCCTCGTTGCTTTTGCGAATTACTGTGATCTCAGGCAAAATCATTTGCGGACTGTTTTTTATAGCATTAAATATTTTTTTCCGATGCAAAGACGTAAATTAATCCTGTTTTGTCCTGCGGGAATCATCTACAGGGTGTTTGGAAAAGTTGATACAAAATTTAAGGAGGTGAAAGTAGAGCCAAAAATAGCAAAAAAAATTGCTATAAACATTGGTCTTCTGGAGCACCGTTATGAGATATGGTCCTCCAAAGGAGTCTTATCACTTGGATATTTTTTAAAATGCTTTCTTTCTGATTAAGATAATGAAATGAAAATTGTAAGTAATAATCATACCATAAAGGTCTTTAACTATCATAAGTTTCATCAAAATCGGATACAACCATCATGAGCAGACACTCTTCTTACACTCGCAGTAGGATTACGTTAAAAAAATCGTAAAATTACTTTGTCTAAATCAAGCCTACGCCTCCTTGGATGGCCCAACTCACGATATCTTGGAGTTAGGGCTCCTGATTCCATCGTTCTTATATGAATTTTTCCAAACAATTTTGCAGAAGGTTGCTTGATAGAAATCAAGAAAACGTTGCCGATACTCTTTTTGAGCCGCCAGACTGTTTCCATTACAGAAACCATAAATAAAATGCATATCGGCATATTCACGAATAATACAAGATGATGGTTCGTGGTTGTAAAAAAATCGAATGAAGTGCAAAGTCAAGCACAAAGATCACAACTAAGAAACGTAAGAATTTAAATGAAAGCACGCGAAAGTGACAATCATTAGTATCATTGCAACGAAACTGTCACCATGAAAGGTGCCTACTATGTGAAAATGTAAAAAAAAAGTTTTTGTTCTGAGCCATACATTATTTAAAAAATAATTATTTCTGACTAAACTACGCAGAGTTCGAAAAAAAAGTAGGGACATTTTTTCTTCAAAATAGCCTAATTCATTAAAAATATTATTTGCTTCATAATTCAAAGCAATAAAAAAAAGGGTAGTTAGAAAACTATCCTTATTTATAACCAATTTTGATGAAACTTACGATAGTTAAAGGGATACCATAAGGGTCTTATGGTATGATTATTACCTACAATTTTCATGCCATTATTTTAATCAGAAAGTTATTTTAAAAAATATCCAAATGATAAGACTCAGTAGCGGTGCTCCGGAGGACCAATGTTTATAGGAACTAATTTTACTACTTTTGGCTCTACTTTCACCTCCTTAAATTTTGTACCAATACCCTGTAACAAAAGTCAAAAAAAGGGAAGAATATAAATGGGCCACACTGTGTAGTATAATAGCTGAAACATCATTTTTACATAAACCGCCAACTATATTCTTTTTTATAAATCAGTTTTACAGGAAAACAACATTTACTCCAACGTCCTGATATTACAGCACGACAAAGAACTGATATTGCCTGGAGATGCCGCATTCAATCTAGAATGCGATTTTAGTAAACCAAGGGATGTTATCGTAACTGCAGATTTGCAAAGGTACAAAAATAATTATTGCATCCATTAGGACATAATTACATTCTCAATTGTAGCACGAACATGGTAGTGTCTAGAATAACGCCTATAGATGCCGATCCTTCTAAGCCGGTGAGGAAAGACGAAAGAATTGGAACATTCGAAAGTTACACGAACAGAGTGATTATTTCTGCAGAGTCATTACAGCGAAGAGAAGAGTTATAGATAAATTTAATTTAAAAAAAAAACTAAGGTCCATAGTTCTTTTATACAGAAAATAATAGAAAATTTGGTTAAAGTACTGCGCGAAGAGGCTAGGATGCTTGTAAAATAAATTGAAGTAAATTTAACAAAGTTTATTGAAGTATAAACAGTCTTACAAAAATAAAAATAAATCACACCTCGTTATAAAAGCCAGTACATCTTCCTATTACACATTAACAAATAAAAACCTGGAAAAGAACTTGATATGCGATGTAGTAGTTATAGTTTCACAGTTGTATATAGCTATATATCATATTGCGTAAATACATAAATCGAATGAAACTTTTGAAATCCTGGGGGAAGCAAAAGTATTTCGTTTGCGGCAAGTATATTTTAAGATCAATATAACAAAGTTCCTATACCGTTACTAGAGATTAATTCCATCTATCGTACTCACAGTATATCCACCGAATTAATATTACATTAAAAAAAGTTTTAACAAACCCAGTACGCTTACATTACCTACCTAATATAAAAATTTAGGCGTGGTAGAGTGCTCGGGAGTCCGTAATTTGTCTTTTTCCTTGTAAGTTTTGAGCACTTTCACACCACATTCCTGTCTTAGTGCAAGGTGCATCTTTTCGAAATGCTTCTACAAGAATTGCACTGTGACCTGCACGCAATTCTCGCTACGAACTTATGTATGTCCGAATAAAGAAATTGTAAATAAATATTCAAATTAAAAGAATATTAATCGAACTAATCACATTACATCATAATTTCATAATACTCGGAAACGTTTCAACACGCAGTATGGTCACGGTAAACCGAGCATGCACTCATTTGGAACTGCGGATTTCAGTTCGAAATATTCAGATAAAAAAAGCATATTTAATTTTCCGAAGCGAACACATTAATTTATTTAAGTACGGATTATCTTGACCATACCGCGTTGTAAATAAAATATGTCACAGCCAATGTAATTAGACATTTCACAAATCTAACCTTAAAATTAGGTTTCCACCCTTTGCAAGTAGACATTTTATGAAATGTCTTATTTCATCAAATGGCTACCCATGATCATATTAACGAACCAATCAGTATCCAGAATATTTTATCCTGCAGCACAATCGAATGAAGCTTATAAAATTACGTTTTACATTTACAAAATGCCTCTGGAATAAAAATAAAAAAAAATAAATGTAATCTGTTATACAAAGCATTTTCTGGGAATGTAGCCAAACTTTAGATGCATCAGTCAGTTGCGAATAAAAAAAAAAACAAGAATTGCATCTAACTTAGGAACAAATAATAAATAAATAATTTGTTAAAAATATAATTTAAACAAAAGTATACCTACATTACACGATAAAAAAATATGTTGCAACTATTACATAAAATAAAAATCTAATAAAATAGCCCCATTGTCCCATGTATTTTTTTTTTGGATAATTAACAAGAAATATAAAAATGATCTAGAGAATTAGTGCTAGTTGCTATGCCAAGGGCTATATATTTGGTAGCCTTCAGATCCTACAATGCTCTTCCCCAAACTTACCTAGGTCTTAGCCTTAACTTACCCTTGTTGTTCTCGAGCTAAGGTCTACGAGGGCGAACCAGCTATCAGAACCCCGAGGCACGCTGATGTTGATTTCAGTTGCTGTTGGTTCTAAAAGTGCAAAGAAATCATTGAATATGCCAATAGTTAAGAATGGCGAAACGTTCTGCCCATAGTGACCTTAGAATCGACAGCAAGAAATGAAATTAACATCAGGGCGGTCCTAAGGGTTTTCATAGCAGGTTTGCCTCCACACAGGCTAGCCCGAGAACAACAAGGGTAGGTCAAAGATTCCTAGCTAAGACGAAGAAAGTGCATCATAAGTTTGTAACTGACGGTGATCAGGTACACAGACCACGGCACGACAATTCGAAACACAATGGTACTTTAGGTATAAAATTTATATTTCAGTGCCTTATTATGCACATATCAATGAGTTGCATGTTACAAAGTTGAAGCATTTTTATAACAACGTAACAAGTTTCAAATATATATACAGGGTGGACCAATGATTGAGGCTTTTCTCATATTCCTCTGAAAAATAGAAAAAAAAGGGAATTGTAGACATCAGAGTTCCGATTTTCGACAAAAACTGAATGGTCAAAACTGCATTTCAGTATTTGAATTAATTTAAGACACACAGGGTGTTTTTCAATTTTCATCATTTTCTGTATTATTAAAGTGAAGCCTGTAACTCCTTTATTTGCGAAAATATTTAGTTGTTTGGGGTTTATATACAATTTTTTATGTAGGATCCTGTTTCACATGCTATATTTTTTCTGTTTTTAGTTACAAAACACATATTTTTAAATCGAACACTATACATTTTTTAATTTCTATTGAAATGACGAAATAATTTTTTTTTAATTTACACGGATTTCAAAAAACAAAACATAGTGTTCCACCACGAACTCCATCGATGGATATCTGGAAAACCGGATTTGAAAAAACAAAATATATAGTGTCCCACCACAAACTCCATCGATGGATATCTGGAAAACCGCTTGAAGGATTTTTGAAATTGTGATGGTGTGATACGGACCGTGGGAGTTCCATTTAAAATAAGAAAGTTAACCAATGTTGCAAGAAACAACTACACCGCGGGCTATATGCCCTCCCCCCCGGTATTGAATTACACTCACAACACTGAATGTAACAGCTAGGATTGCTCGTCAGTTTAACCCACCAGGCACAGACCGGTTTCGGACTTATTGGTCCTCATCAGTGTGTCATAGGTAGGACAACCGGTGAACGATCCAGCTGTAATAATGTGGTAAATTCCTGACCAGAAGTACATAGTATGCGAAGCACAATGGCTCCATCTGTCTGTCGTGCCGACTTCCACTATGCCATTCAAATGGCTACTACGGTGGAAGTGACCTGCTAAACTTTGCCAGGTACTTTGTTGCACGACTGTCGCCTAGAGGGCGACACCAATTCTAACCAATGTTGCAAGAAACAACTACACCGCGGGCTATATGCTATATGCCCTCCCCGGTATTGAATTACACACACTGATGAGGACCAATAAGTCCGAAACCGGTCTGTGCCTGGTGGGTTAAACTGACGAGCGATCCTAGCTGTTAAATTCAGTGTTGCGAGTGTAATTCAATATACCGGGGGCATATAGCCCGCAGTGTAGCTGTTTCTTGCAACATTGGTTAGAATTGGTGTCGCCCTCTAGGCGACAGTCATGCAACAAAGTACCTGGCAAAGTTTAGCAGGTCGCTTCCACCGTAGCAGCCATTTGAATAGCATAGTGGAAGTTGGCACGACAGACGGATGGAGCCATTGTGCTTCGCGTACTAAGAAAGTTAATATCTACTTCCGGTATAACCGAAAGTACGATGACCTTGAAAATATTTTAGCTTGGTACACCCTGTATATAGTTTAAAAATATATGTTTGTGTTATAACTGAATAACTAGAAAATAGTAAAATCTTATTGCAAAATTAAAAAATTTTCACAAACAGAAAAGTTGTAGGGCAACATAGAAAATGGCCAATGGTGAGAAACGATTCAAGATATTGAGATACACTTTTCACCATTCAGATTTTCGTGAAATCAAGCGCTCTTGTCGTATAAACTACTTTTTTCTCTTTTCAGGAAACTGATGAAATCCATCCAAAAGCGTCAAAACTGGCCCACTCCGTACAATTTTCGCGAGTGCAAATAATGATTATAACTAAAGCGAATATATTTAAATCTTTACGTTTTTATTCGTCTGAATTTTAGTGAATTTACGAACTATTAAAACAACTCATTTAATCTATTGCTCGACCGCGGCATTCAACTAAAAAGAGGCACTTTGCAAATTTGCACCAAAGATCCAAGAGACAGGTAAATGCAATTAAAATTTGAGCGATTTCGCGAAAAGTGCGGCGGTGGCTTGAGTTTTGTCCCCGTTGAAACGTCTCAGTTCGAAAATGACCTGTTCCCTACTGAAACCCATAGCAGTGATTTCTTTAATGTCTGCTTCTGAAAACTTATCACTAGGTAGCAGGCTTTGAGTATTCGAATTCGCTATTGTTGCACTGGCACTACTGTTAGGTTGCAGTGCGCTGGAACTGCTGACAGCTAGAATGAAAAAATATATTCCATCATATATTTAAATTTATTGTGTTACTTAAAGGGTTACAAAGGATCAGAAGTGGGATATTTTAGGCGTTTTGGCTACTTTTCCGCTTTTTAGGCTTATTTTCGTCAGATGAATTGTGGAAAGAGAAATGAAGTTCTTTATTTATCTTCCTTTCTAAAAAATGGTAAATTTTAAAATTTTATGAGAAAAAGTAAAGAAATTTATATCGTCTATGGAAACGGAAAAAGAAATATTAACAACCTTAAGTTACGGTTAAAAGTGGGACCTTTTGGTAGGGGTATTGTGACTTTTGCTCCGTTTTTGACCTTCTTTCGTATGAGAGGAACACTGAGGAGAGGATTGGGATTCTTTATGTTTCTTCTTTCCTATAATCACGGCAGGCAACAGATAGTATAGAGTTTAAATAACTAAAACAATTTACCTTGTTGTCTGCTATTATGTATAGCAGTTTGCAAATCTTTGTCCTCTATTTCTTTCTTGGACCGTGCCAAAACCTCCTCCTCGGACAAGCTGCTCAGTCTCGCGCAATCGGGTAGTTCACTTTCCGGCAAGAAAGACGTTTCGGTACCCGTCGTACCGATTCTTAAGACGTTTGCATGGAGATCGATACAACACTGATGTCTCTTCAACATATCCAGCCCTAGCAACATATCCATTGGCTGTTCTTCTAGTACAGAAAAACTTGTGGTTAAGTAGACGTTCTCGATTTGGATCTGAACCATGTGAATCCTGCCTATGATTTTTTGGACACCCACACCCTTGGCAATGCCCGCCCACCTCGTATCCACCAGACGCATTATGTTGCACCTTTCAGCACAACGACTCGACATGATCGTCGTCTGGGCGCCTAAAAAATATTAATACAATGTAAAGAAATATAATAAATTTTAAAAAAATTCTAACCTGAGTCTATGAAAGCTTTCACAGGGTAACCATTCACCCTGCAGTTTATGTAAAGCATAACAACCGTGCCGAAAGATTCTGGATTATATTCCATAGCTGCCTCCATGTTTGCTTCAATGTTTTTCTGGCGAATCTCCTCAGCTATAAGTCGCTGAGCCTCGGTGTCAAACGGATCTGCATTTACCATTCTTAATCTTTGCTGTTCACGTTCCTGTCTAGCCTGGACCTGTTCTCGGAGCACTGATGAAAATGTGTCTAAAAGATATGGAAATTCAATAAACGAAAAAGCACATCACAAAGCAACTGTACCGATATTTCCACTGAGTAACGCATCTGCTAATCTGGGATTGTTCTGTTTCAACAAAGCCAGTTGATCAGGATTTGCTAAGAACATATCTCGGATTAAAACAGGATCATCTTCAGTGGCTCTATTTCTGGCGCTGTTTGGAATTTCTATGTTGCTAAAGTCAAAACTAACTGAAAAGATAAACAAATATTAATACCTGCATCACTGTTTTAAAGTTTTAATTAATACTTTAATGCATAATTTGCTGCAAAAGTCTTACTTTATAAAAACCAAAATTGAATCTTAAAAGTTTCAATACTGACTTTGATTTGTTTTGTTTTTGTTGACTGTCCAACAAACTTTTCAATTATTATTTAGTCAACTGTACATCACTTATTATAGAACTGCAAAAAAAATGTCATTACCTGGATTTTGATCCAGACTGGTCTGAGACCCAGTCTGCATATGCTGCAGGATAACAGCATCCCCATCGCGAATCCCCAGCTCCTTAAGAGACTTTTTATTATCCATTAGGGGCATGCCATTGAAGGCAATGACGATTTCCGATGCTGGAAATCCCGACTCTATTTCACAAAATGCTTTGAAATTTTCCAGTTCCAGGTCTTCAGACACGTCCAAAACAAATATGAAATCGGTTAAAGTAGCCACTGTCACCTTCATTTTAAATTTTTATTGCGTTGATTTCGCGACAAATGTACCAAACTGCTCAATATCAGTAAGTAAATTTTTTCATTGTTTTCTAACCTAGAACAACAGCTCAGCACATAATAAAATGACAGACGCCCGTCAATCCATTGTTCATTTGTTCTTTTATGATTGGCCAAAAATAAGAAACGATTCTTGCCGTGCCTTAAATGTACGTCCAAAAATAATCACTTTTTGGCTAATGGCTCTGTTTACCAACTTGGTTTCTTTTCTTTGTTTCTGCGCCTACGGTTTCGCAGTTGAACAGTTTTTGAACCGCGCTTGAAGACCGGGTTGAAGGTTGACTTGAAGTTATTTTGGGTACATCCACTGCGTAGAGGTGAAAAACCTTAGAAAATAAAGTTATGGAGAGATGACACTGATATGTTAACTATGCTATTTGCATACAAATTAATGTATTACTGGTTGCATAACAATGATAACAAAATTTGAAACATTGTTTTAACCAAAGACCTCAGAATGACTAGACAAGTAATTCCCTATGTATTGCAAAGGAATTGTTTTGATTTTCCACAACTTGAGACAACCTGCTATTAAACAAGGATGAAGATAGTTCTTTGTTTACTAGGGAACTCTTAACCGCCATTATTCTATGGCTAGAAATTGGCCTCAATGATTTGGGATCGAGGGGGATTATCC